ATGCAAGTGACTCCTATGGGCTTCACCAATGCCGTGGCAGAAGCACAAAGAAGGATGCTCGCAGTTGCGGGAGATATGTTCCCCCCAAAGTGCAAGCCGTACATTGATGACAATCCGATCAAGGGTTTGCGAGACAAGGATGAGACGAAAATTCAGCCAGGGGTACGAAAATTTGTGTGGGACCACCTGCAGAATATTAAAGAACTTCTCGGCAGGTTTCTGGAATACAACATCACTGCCAGTGGCCCCAAGACCATCCTGGCAGTGCCGGAAGTAACTATCCTAGGATTCCGTTGCGGGTCGTATGGAAGAAAGCCCGACCCGGTGAAGACTGATAAAGTCTCTCAATGACCGACACCCTTGCGGACCACAACGGAGGTAAGGGCCTTTCTAGGGGTCGTGGGGTTCTGGAGGATCTTCATCAAAGGATTCGCTAAGATAGCAGAGCCCATCCGGGCCATGATTCACGAAGAGGGTTCGCTCAATTGGACGGAGGAACGAGAAGAAAAAATGCAAATAGGAAATGATCGTTTTTTTTGTGGACCATGGATCTGAGATCAGATCTCATGGTGGAGCGGAACTAGCCGTTTTTTGTGGGCCAGCTCAAAACGGCTAGCTCCGGAATGAGGTGGCAGCCCAAAATGGAAAGAAACAAATTAGGGAAAGAGACAAAAATATGCATTTGACCCAAAACGAGAGCCGGCTGCAACAAAAGTTGAAAAAGTAGACTTAGGGATTCAAATTTGAAGCAAGGGCTACTTGGGGGTGACACGGAATATTGTTGGCCTTCAATCTCAGCCAGATCCAAAGCTGAAAATGCACCGCTGAATGGGAAAATATCTCGGCCTACCCAAAATGGGTGGAAGCTGAAAAAATCGAGAAAAAGGCTCACTAGGCCTTTTTCTCTCAGGTAAAGCTGCCCCTTGGGCATTAGGATCCAAGGGGGCAACATTTTGGAAGTGAAAAGGAGGCCGAAGGAGACCAAGAGGCAATCCGAGTTGGTACCAACCGCTCAGACTGTATGTACTTGGCCAAAAATGAGGCCCAGGTACCTCCGGAAGGGCCTAGTAGTGAAATTTTGTCTTGGCGGTACCTCGGTTCACCTCAAGGCACATGGGGAGGTCCATGGGCTGGCCGGACTGCTGGTTTCAGCCTACATAAGTTGGGAATTCAGTCCGCCACATTCACAATTGCATGAGGAGTGCCCATGTTGCCCAAGTGAGCTCATAGGAGCACTCTTTCACTTGGAGAGAGGAAAGGGGAACCCATGCCAATTTGGGAGCTTAGAGGAGACTATAAGCTACGGGGAGGAGGAGGTTAGTGGTAGTGAGGCTGGCACTGGGGAGGTGATCCGCCATAACCCCCAGGGTGTGAGGAAGAGAGAGAGGCTAGAGGGAGTCTCATTAGCCCTCCTAGAGGGGAGGGCTCCATAGCCATAGTGATAGGAGCTTGTTGCAACTTGGGAGAGACTGAGAAGGGGAAGAGGAGAGGGGCTTGAGGAAGAAGAAAGTCATAGCCAAGGAGGTGTTTTTGCAAGGAAGAAGAAGTTTCATCAAGGTTAAGACTCCATCTCCAAGATATCAAGAAGGTGAGTGGAAAGAGGGAGATTCTTCTTCGTCTTCTTCTTCTTCTTCTTCTTCTTCTTCTTCTTCTTCTTCCTCTTCTTTTTTTTTCCCTTCTCCTTCTTCTTCTTCTTCCTCATCTTCTTCTTCTTCTTCTTCCTCTTCTTCTTCTTCCTCTTCCTCCTCTTCTTCTTCTCCTTCTTCATCATCTTCTTCTTCTTCTTCTTCTTCTTCCTCTTCTCTTAGTCTTCCTCTCCTTCTCCTTCTTCCCTTTCTTCTTCTTCTTCTTCTTCTTCTTTTTTTTCTTTTTTTTCTTCTTTTTTTTCTTCTTTTTCTTCTTCTTCTTCTTCTTCTTCTTCTTCATCCCTTTCTTCTTCTTCTTCTTCTTCCTCTCCTTCTTCTTCTTGCCTTTCTCCTTCCTAGAGGCTAATTTATCTCTTGCTTGTCACTCACATGCTAGTAGGTATTGCTCCGATTCTTCCACGGATGACCTCATTGAAACGGTTTTCACCTTTTAGCAGTAGCGGATGCAGTACCCAGAGTTCGATCCCTAGACCTCACCCTACCCATGTACAATATCTGTGTAGACCCCGAGAATTGAACTTGTGACCTGTGTATTCGTAGACAGTTGGTAGGCCTGTCGTAGGTCCATAGGCAGCAGGGGTTCGATCTGTAGGTCTATAGCATAGAAGTCTTAGCGAGTTCCGGAAGCTTAGCTGTAGACCTTCTAGAAGCTAGGCAAGTAGGCAAGTGGTGGACTAAGCCGCAGTGCAACAGCATTACAACGTTGGTAGGATAGCGGTGAGTCCACAGTCAGTCAGCGGAAGGTCCAATCAGTCCCAGTCCGGTCTAGCAAGTACCACGGGGGGACTGTGAGCACCAAGGGCCGATGGCAAAGGGCAGACCAACGAGTTTCTGAATTATAAATCAAGAGGCAGCGCCCAACCATTCATTCATTCCTGTGTGAGCCATGCGGAAGCGCTGCCACAGTGACTTGTGCAAGGAGGTCTGCGGATGAGCCCGAAGGACGCAGTGGGCAAGAGAGAGGGAGTAGCATAGCGATAGGTTAGATGCAGCGATAGCTGCCATAGCTGTAGTTAGTAGCGAATGTGTGCGTGGGTGTTCGAGTGTTAGAGTGATGCGTGTGGGATATCCAAGGTGATCCAGTGTATGTGAACAGTGAGATGTTTGGGCGCTGAAGTCGCCATGGCCAATTGAGAGTGAACTCGTATCTGAAAGCCATATCTCTGAGTTTTGAGTGGGCGCATGTCGCCAGTATGCTGCGTTGCTTTTTTACATACATGAAAGATGTGTTTGGGAATGAGTCTGATTGCATTGGTATCGGAGCTGGTACCCGCTATTCCATGCGCGTCGTCGTATGCAGGACCTGATGCGCCATAGCCGAGGTGGCCGCCGAAGGTGATAGTCCGCCATAGCGGACTTGAGGTTGAAGAAGCCGCCGTGCACCTGCAAGAAGACCACGACGAAGAAGGAGAGAGAGAGAGAGAGAGAGAGAGAGAGAGAGAGAGAGAGAGAGAGAAAGAGAGAGAGAGAGAGAGA